AGTTCAATTAATAGTGTGTATGTGTGTGACGATTGTAAGTGTTGATTCAAGTTATTCAGGGTTGCGTGTCTTTGACTGATATGCTAAAATTGATTAAATGTACAATTACTATTTTGTGTCACTTTTAGTAAATTGTAAGTTAAGTTTCTTCACGCGGCAATAGTTATGCGAGTTGTGTTGAGTTGATGGGAGGCTGGTAGTGTTATTGAGTCAGTGTGTTGGCACGCGTGGAGTCTGCTGGCATCTCTCGAAACTCAGTGTCTGAGTGACTTGAATTAAGTCGAGCGATTCATTTTTATAGAAATTTTTGGGTTTTCAAATAGGCTCCAGACAACTGCGCGGGAAAAAGAATTTGTCTCAACTTGCTACATTTTTGTGTCCTTTCAACCAATGGGAAATTGAGTTTGGAAAAGTGAAGTGATGATTGGTTAAAGGTTAATTTGGGGAAGAGTGCATCCTCCCGTAGAGGGTGACAGGCAAGTATGGCGGATTCCATAATGTCTTTGGGCTAGATTAAGCAGATTAAAAGGTTATGCACTGTAATGGTCACGGTTGTGCAGCAGAAATCAGTGCTGAAGACAAGGTTATAATTAGGATCTATCACTGATTTTAATTTAATTTAGATATTTTAAGTAATTTAACACCGGAGAAATAATTTCAGTAATTTTAACAACAGTGAAGATTTCTCATATGAGAAGATGAATACGATATGAAATTTCAATCCTCATTATCTATCATCATATGGCCTTTTGCCTTACTTTTCTCGACTGAGTGAATATCTGTATCTAGTTGTTTGTTGTTCCTTTTTAAAAAGGTTATAATATCATCAGTATCCTTATTTCTTAACCAAATATTGATTATCTAAAAACTGTTTATCGGTCGTCGTTCGTACAAACACATACACACACCCAGACACACACTCAACACAGAGGCACCGATACGCGCACACACACACACACACAAATATACACAGACACACTCACGCAAACGAAAACACACAGAGGCGAAGAACATGCGTGGACCGAATCTGTGAAATATTAGGACAGATAAATATTGTTATTTTTCACGTTGTTTAGACCAATATAACTCTCCCAATTTCTGGCTTATCCGAAGACAAGTTTGTTATTTATCTTTTTTTGTGTGTGTGACACGGAATAAAATAATTGCTTTAAGATTTGCGATCACGAATTCTTAATAACAAATCCTTCCTAAGTCTACCAGAAAGACAAGAATTGCCATCAAAATTCATTGAATATTAATACATATTATCATGAGACCAGAACTATAAAACTCGAATTGATTTTCCCATGTTATCATGTCGCCAATGCGAAAGACATCGTTCTCTTCTTCGTTCCATTCTTATAAACATTTCTTTTACAGGCGTGTAATTCCATTTCAATGGCACAAAACCTCTTTCTCACCACCACGCATCTTTTTCAGCCTTCTCTATTCCATCCTTTTATGACTTTCCTAACACAGACATTTTTCTTTGTTGATTTCAAAGCAAACAAACTTCTTCGTCATACGCAAATGTTAATAATTCTTTCAAATGTGAAAAGTCAATCAAAACCTTTTGTTCTTTTCTAATAGTTCATGAAATTGAGGCATTAGACCAGCCGGGCTGCATGGAAACTAATGGAGGTTTACTTGTTTGGAACTTATTTAGAAATATTTTTTATTATATAAAATTGTTGGGTTAAACAAAGAAATCACAAGTTATCTTAGGTTAAAGGTATTAATATTTTCTGCCAATTGTTAATGATTTGTTGAGCAAAAAATAATACTCGGAAGATATGAGTAAGACGTTAGAAAGTGGACGTGAATTTCTAAGTTACTTCATGGAATTTAATAATTCATTTTACAAGTTACAAACCAACTGATGAAAAAAAGGAAGAAAAAAGAGTTAATATTTTTTTCATCCTTATTCGCTGGTGTAATTTATATTCCATATATGTTTTGAAATTTATGGTCTGCCTCTTTGTTGATATTAACAGAACGTCGTTTCAAACAATAGATTTTTTATCTTCAAGTAGCCGCTGCCATTTTTCTTTAGAAATGATTTGGATAAAAGGACCAAATTAGGATGTCACTAAGAAAATTCTAAAGACTAGTGACGAAAGTCAATGCACGAATTGATTGAAGAAACGGAAAAGATTTATACCAATTTTCAAAATTTTCATTATACGAATTCATAATACTAACGGTGGAATATGTTAAGTTATAAGCCACCCCTGATTACAGCAATTTTGCCTTGTGCAATAACGTCTCTTTTTTTTCTATGAAAGATAGTTGACTTACATTTTGCAATGTAAGTTCGCGGAAGTAAGGAAATTAGTGAATTTCAACGAAGGTAAATAACAGAATGGCAAGTCAAATAAAGAAATTGCTAGATTTTTCCAGGTTAATCATCAAACGGTTAATAATATTGTCAGGATATTTAATGAAGAAGGCCATTGTTGTGTGGAACAGCGTCCAGGAAGACCAAGCATCGTTACTGAGCGAAGGAAAATGGTACTGAAGTCATCAGAAACCGTCGTCAGAATGTGAAAGATGTCGCCAACAGCATGGAAATGTAGCAATATGAGAAAGACTATCAAAGAGTTAGGCTATCAAAGAAGAGTTGCAAGAAAGAAGCCCTTGATTTCAAAGGTTAATAGGAACCTTTGTATGGACTGGGCGAAACAATTCGTGGGCAGAGATTATGAATTTTGGCAGTCTGTAATTTGATCAGATGAAAGTAAACTCTGCCAATATTCGAATTCGAGATAGGTTTATGTTCGGAGAAATCCAAATGAGACTTGGAACACTGAATGCCTGCAGGCGACTGTGAAACATGGAGGGATTGGAGTAAAGATGTGGGGAGCTGTCTGGTTTGGAGGGAAATCTGAGCTGATTTTTGTTGATGAGCTGTTGAATGGTCTAAAATATTGTCAAATATTAGAGAACGAAATACTTCCACTATTTGAAATCAATCGGATTGACAAGAATGTCTACCTCTTTGAAGAAGATGTTGCGCCATGTCATATGGGAAATGTAACAAAGGCCTGGAAGAAATCACAAGGAAACCAGTCACTGCCATGGGTAGCCCAAAATCCTGACATGAATCCAATAGAGCACGTTTGGGACACCTTGACCGAAAACTTCGAGAGTGTGCAACCAAAATCACGTATTTATTTTGAGTTGGGATTACGTAATTAAATTGAAATTGGATGTAGTTTATTTCTCTTGGCTAAAAATTTTTCTTTTTTGTATATATTTCAAAATTTCAAAAAAATAATGAGTAAGAGAGCATAATGTCTAAGATTTAGCCACCGCGACGACAACGAAAAAAATGTTAATTTCTCGAAAGATTAGACAGAGTAGCGGTAATGCCTCAATACTAGAAAAATAAATAAAAAATGAGTTAAGAGAAAATTTGCCTTTTTTGTGTGTTTTTCTCTTCAAATATAAAGTATATATTGGGTTTCAGCTAGGAAAGAATTTGCAGATGTCTAATCGGACAATATGACCAGGAGTGTTGGCGCTTTACAGAAGATAATCGATACGAAATATTTTAAAGGGAAGATCATAAGTGCATTTCGCTTTGCATTTGAAAGAGTGCACAAATCCTAATCAGCCATTTGCGCCAATGTTTCTGGCCAGTTTGTTTTATGACTTTGCGCTAACTTGTGTCGCTTAGAAAGTTTCCATTGATATAAGGGCAAAACGAAATTCTCTTTCTCGTCCTGCTATAAATCTCACGAGAATAACTCATTCCAAATCACGTTTCCATTTTATCATTTTTGTCTTAAATATTTTACTATTTCTTTATTCTTTTATTTTCTGTTATTTCGCTTGACTTTATTTTTGTTTTGTTGTCTTTTCATGCTTTTTTTTATTCTACTTTTTATTCTGGCCTTCGACCATATTGTTTTTTTGAAAACAATTCTTTCCCTGTCTGCTTGCAGGCTTAGTGGTAGAAGGCTGAGCCCATGTACAAAGAGAGTAATTCAAATAATTTTCAAGGCATTTGGAAAATTGGTGCTACACGATGCTGCCATCATATATTACGTCTGAATGGTCATGTGCAACACTAAAGTAAATATTCTTGTTTTTCCATCATCTACTTTGTTGATGTATTTTATTTATATTCGTGTTTATTCTCAGCTTTAATTTCTGTCTTACACTTTGTTACTATTCATTAGGTTTTAACTGTGTTCTTCAATTCGTAAAAGTTCTTGATTTTTCTTTCTTTATTTCGAATAATTGAAACATAATTTTCTCCTTTTCTTTTTTTATTTCTTTTTTCATTCATTCTCACTATATTTAATTTTTGCGAATTTCTTTTTTTTGTTTATTTAAATATCTTTTGTCTTTCTTATTTTCCGCGTTCTTTCAGTTTTCACGCATTAATTTTCTCTTTCGTTTTCTTTCTTCTTTACATTTCCCATCTTATGACCTTTTATTTTGTCTTTCTTTGTTCATTATTTTTCTTTGATTTTCAAAGCCGGCGTCAAATGTACGTCTACTGACTTATTGCCACTGCCAAAATTTGCTGAGATCTCTCGTTACAGACGGAAATGAGAGGATCTCCAATATTAGTAATGTTTCCTAAAGCGGTTTTAGAGCCAAGAACTTATAAAGTAAGTATAGAAAGAAGGTAAAGTACTGAGAGAGGGTAAAAATTACAGAGAATAAATCAGAAAAAGAGAGAGAAAAAAAAGAAAAGATCAAAAATAAATAAAGAAAAAACTCATTTATTTTACTTATTTTCTATACTGCCTGGATGACATTTTTATCGCTGTTTTGCTTCGATCTTCAGGCAGTTTTGGAAATATTGAAATGAAATATTTTCATGGTTACATCCATTATAAAAACAAATCTGTCTCACACTTCAAAAGGTCACCGAAAACAATATACACATGAGGAAGACTAAAGAATTTATCGGCCATATAGTTAATTATAAAAGATGAAGCAAAACAACCAAGATAATTATGGCATAAAGAAAGTGTTAGACAAACGAGTGAAGCGGCAAAAAATATTTGTTAAAGTCACAATAAAGAAGAATAGATGAAATAAAACTGGATTTTAATGAAAAAGATGATGGCCATGGGAGAGTGTCGAATAGAACTGGCAAAAAGAAAAGGTATAATGAATGGAAAAAAAGATAAGGAGAGGAGGAATATATGAAGTCATTTAAGCAATTAAATGGCTTGCAGATGGAAGAGATAGATAGATAGATAGATAGATAAATAGATAGATAGATAGAGTGTGTGTGTGTTCGTGTGATAATTAGAGAGAGAAATAAAGAAAGCAACAGAAAGTCAAGGTCATTTATTAGAGAACGATTGGTACTTTAGTAGAAGCTGCGTCAATTTGACATATTAAGCTAGGTATCATAAGATTAGAGACAAAGTTGATGAAGATGAAAAAGAAAGAGAAGTTACTACCCCCTCCAAAGAAAGAGAAGTCACTATTCCCCTCAAAAAAAAAAAAAAAAAAAAAAAAGAAAGAAAGGGACAGAAAACACAGAAAGTATATATAATCTATATATTAAGTCCAGGAAATCACCGTCCGTAATGGAAGAACTATGTGGGTTCGAAAAGGATCTAATGGGCATAATAGATCAAATAAAGTTTAGAAAATAAAGGTTTCAAAAGAATCTTACTGCGAAAATGAAAGAAGAAAGCAAAACAAGGAACATTTTAGTAAAGAGCGATAAAACCAAAACAATATATACAATGAGCCTGAGAACTTACAGAAAGAAAATGCCTGACGAAGTAAGTAAACTCTTTAGAAAAACTTCAGCTTTTTATATCCGACAAATTATCAGGTCATCCCATAAGTTCTGTCCGAATTTTGAATAAAGAAAACAAGTGACCAAATGTTACATTTAATTACAGATTCCATTAACAATTTCCCTGATTATCTATAACTTCCTTCCATCTATTCACAAGGTTAGTAATTCTATTACTGTAAAATTCTTTTGGTTTTGATTCGAATAACTCACAAATGTCAGTTTTAACCTCTTCCTGTGTTACAAAAGCTGTTTCATCCAAATGATTCTGTAAGCTACGAAACAAATGGTAGTCTGAAGGAGCAAGATCGGGAGAATAAGGTGGATGAGGAATTTTCTCCCAACCAAGTTCTTCGATCTTTTGTGACGGGATTCTTGCTGTGTGGGGTCGCGCATTGTCCTGATGAAACATCACCTCTTTTCGATTCACTAGAGCAGGTCTTTTTTCCCTCAAAGCTTGGTTCACACACGATAATTACTGACAGTATATTTGAGAATTAGTTGTTGCATTAGGTAGTAAGAATTCAAAGTGGATTATTCCTTGGCGATCCCACCAGATTGAAAGAAGAACATTTTGCCCATGAAGTTCCTTTCTCGGCTGTGGCTGTAGTCCTTCCCCTTTACCAAGCCACTGTCTACGACTCTTAACCTTTCGATAAAAGATCCATTTTCCGTCGCCAGTCACAAGTCTATCCACAAAAGGTGAAACAAGTTGGTGAGAATGGAGAGAAGAACAGATGTCAACTCGAAATTTGAGTTTATTTTCAGACAATTCATGAGGCATCCATTTTCCAAGTTTAGTTTTTGTATGGTTTGAATTGAGAACCACTGCCAAATCCTCAACTGATAAAGCAGGATTTTCTTCAAGGGCTGCTTCAATCTCAACTGGACGTCCGGTTCGATCTTCATCTTCAAGGGTGAAATCTCCACCTCTGAACTTTGCAAACAATCTTCTGCATGTTCTTTCATTCACACATTCCATTCCATAAACTGAGTGAATGTTTCTAGCCGCTTCGGCTGCTGAGTTTCCTTTCTTGAACTCATAATGCATTATGTGCCTCAAATGATTCTTGAGTACTTCAATATTAGCAGGGTTTTAATCAAACAAAATTTAATTTTATTGTTCTCTGAAATAAAATTTGGTCAGTTTAAATGCATTTAAACATAAAAATAATGTTTAGCTCCATTAGACATTATAAAATACTCTTTAAATTTCGTTCATTTTAACAAAAAGTTAAAATTCGGACAGAACTTATAGGATAAGCTGATAAAAAAAAGATGCCATGTACATCAGTGAAAGAATCCAGAGCATATGTGAATTAAGTAATATCAGCAAGATTGTAGATAACCATGACATCTACAGAGGAAATGCACTGATTATAGAGCCTTAAAATAAAAGAGCTAACGATGTAATTAAGAAGAAACTGTTTAACGATTTTAAAAGCCTGAATTTAGAAATTACCGTAGAGATGTTTATGAAAATTGTTCAATTTTTAAACAGTGAATCCAATTTATTTGATGGTACAATCGCACCGCACATGGAACCAAATTTGTTGCTAAAATACGTAAACGTCACACGAAGAGCGTAATCAAATAAATCCAAAAAGGAACTAAATTCTCATTATCAAGGAATTCTTTGTCAATGGAAATATTTAATGAAAGGAAAAAGAATATGTAATTGCAATAAGGGGAGAGGGGCATAAAAACTGAGCTAAAATTTAATACCCAATTAAACAAATACAAAAGATAACAAAAAGAAAAAAAAAGAAATATAATATGTTTCACTCTCCCCATTCAATTTTCAATAATCTAATCAAGAAAATTCCCCGAAACCTATATATATATATATATATATATATATATATATATATATATATATATATATATAGCTGGTCACTCGTATTTGGGGATACCCGTCTACTAGGGCGGCTAGCCAATTTCTATTGCAGCCGCTCTCTCAGGCACATTTGTGTTCATTCAACACACACAGAGCCCATCTTTGTTTTAAACTGCAAATATGGTGAGAAAACTTTAGTTACAGTTTCTTGGAAACAGCTTGTTATCTTGCGTAATCCTCAATTTGAACAAGGCCAGCACGCTCACGGCCTCGCCCACGATGAATTGTGACTTCGTGCTAGCACAGCTACGGGCGTCCCCCAAGGGTTCCGTCTACACAATTTCACTCACAAAACTTGGATCAACTCGTTGTATGATTTTCAGGCACTTTTCAATGATGCAGCACGCTGGGATCGGCCCTTCAGTCCGATAACATCCGGGAGTCTCATTCCTGGTAAATCGAGCATGGTGAGGTCCGAACCCGTGCCTCATGGTCAGAATACGAACGTTATAACCACTTGGCCGCATATATGTATGTGCGTTTGTGTTAAAGGTACATTTTTCGGTGCATACGCGTAACAGAAATTTCTACAGTGATAGAAAAGATCGTCAGATGCTTAACATTAGCACAATGGATATTTAAATTATGTTTTAATATGGAAGCCTTTACTCTAAATTTCAACGAAAACCAACATTTAATGAGAATTACAATTCAATCAATAATTATTCATAATATATATATATATATATATATATATATATATATATACACACATACACATATATATATATATATATATATATGTGTGTGTGTGTGTGTGTGTAGAGCTGTTGTACTTGCCATGCTTTTGTATGGCTCAGAGTTGTGGACTCCATACAGGTACCATATACGCCATCTAGATGTTTTCCATAAAAGCTGTCTGCGTGCAATCTGTAGAGTTAAGCTTCAAGATAGATCTGACGTAGACCTGATTAACAGGTGTAATATTGGACGAATCGAGACTTATCATACAGTCCCAGTTACGGTGTAATGGTCATGTCTTGAGAATGTCTGATGACAGGATACCCAATATCCTAATGTACAGCCAGTTAGATCAGGGCTACAGGAATGTAAGGCGCCCGTGGCTAAGATACAAAGATAAGCTGAAAAGCAACTTGTCAGCTGTCAATATACCGCATAACACCCTTGAGATCAATGTGTTTTAGTGGACTCAGCAATTTTCAATCTGCTCGTCTGAATCATCTTCAAGAAGCGAGAGCAAGATCTCAAAGGTCACCCAATCTAACAGTGATCTCATTTCACAATCCTCACACTTGCTCCATATGTGGCCTACTTTGTAAATCCCTAGCGGGTCTAAAATTATCTTAGATTATCGCACAAACTTTCATAACTGAATCAATAAGCAGTCAGATCCTCATACGTCGAAACCGACAGGAGAGTCCATTATTATTATTATATATATGTATATTATATTCAGTTGTATGGATATGGGTTTGTGATCCTGGGTTTCGCTCTTTTGCGATCATCAGACAAACTAGTTTAAATTGTCAAAAATCTATCTATTTATGCTTGTTTGTGTTTGATTATGTTTGGTGGTGGGAGGAGGGAATTCTCATCTGTCCGTTTCGGATGACACTCTCATACACACAAACATACATACGTACAGGTGCATGCATTTTAGTGCACACAAACACACTGATATAAACAATCCGAGATTAGGCGCAGATAAACCAGTTTCTCTGATGATCGCAAAAGCCTAAATCCCAGGGTCAAAAACTCATACAAATGAATATGATTGATCCACCACTGATATTGAGTACTTTCCAATAATTAGTGCGCATGTATATTTAGGCGGCAACCTTTCTTTCAAACATGGGTTGATAAATATGGAAGAAAATTTGATGAATTTTTAGTGAGTTTTTCTTCTATTCTTAAATTCTTTCGTTTGGTTGGGTTAAGGAAATGTAAAGGTTATGTCTTTTATCCCAATAACCTTTTGTCACTTATTTAGCCCTTTTCATTGTGTTTGTTGATAAATGTTGTTTTTTTTTCTTTTTGTAGTTGTCTTTTAAGATGTAGTTCTGTGATACCTATTGAATGATAGTAGAATTCATTACGAGCTCCGCGTTGCTTGAATTGGACTTGGTTTCCTTCTAAAAAAACAAAAAAAAACAAAAAACAAACAAAACAAAACAAAACCTTTAGTACATTATGTCCGTTGTTAAATAAAGTGAGATTAATACTGGTGCCATATGTTTTATGTGAAATGCTTCTGTCACAGCGAGAGATTTTTCAAACGGGTTATGAGTAATACTTTTGACTTAAGTTTAATCAACCGGGTTTCAATCCCGGTTTGAAGTAATCGGACGTCTAGCCACACTGAGGAGCTGTGATACAGCGAAACAGTCTATCTGTGGATGGCTATATATGCTACCGGAAATTCGGTTGAGCTCTGTAGGCAAAGGGGTTTTTAAAAACAGCGGCTCCTACTGCTATTAAGTTTTACTATTCAAGTATGAGCCGCTGGGGTATTTCGTATAGAGAAAAAAGTTAAAATTCCTTTTCTTTCGACGATGACCAAGGGGTAAGACATCTGTTTGATGTCAAATCACTCGGGTGTAGCAATCGGACGTCTGACACATTGAGGAACTGTGATACAGCGATTCTGTCTGTGGATGACTCTCTCTCTCTCTCTCTCTCTATATATATATATATATATATATATATATATAAATATAAAAGTGAACATAGAAGTCAACACTTAGAGGCGACAGTCTGTTTCATGCTATATGCAATCGTCAGGCCACATATGCTGTTATTTTTCTCGGCTATTTATATATATGCGGGTTAGTGGTGCATTGTGGGTATTCTATTATGGCGGTTATTTTTTACCGGAAGTCGCTTTGTCTATTTATTTGGGTCAAATTATATTGCTCGTTTTTATTTATTTATTTATTTTTTTGTTTCTTATTTTATTTATTTATTTATTTATTAACGTAGTAAAAATTTGTTTATATCACGTATTTAACAGTTTTATAGCTTTAATTAAATTCTCAAACCAAAACAAAACTATCGAATAGAATAATAGAATACCCACAATGCACCACTAACTCGCATATATATAAATAGCCGAGAAAAATAACAGCATATGTGGCCTGACGATTGCATATAGCATGAAACAGACTGTCGCCTCTAAGTGTTGACTTCTATGTTCACATATATACACACGCTCTATCTCTGATATTGAGCACTTTATCCCATAAATATAGCACTCCTTAAAACTATATTTCTTTATATATATATATATATATATATATATTTACACGAATGAGAAAAGGAACTGATGGGCTAAAAATGTGTGTGTGTGTGTGTAAAGGGAAGGTGTTATAGTAGTTCCATCGAGAGAAAAGTGTGTATATTAAATCGACGAGAGAAACGGCAATAGCTTTTTGCTGTAAAGTGGATTTTTAAAAATAATATATTATACTTTATTTTCCATAATTTTGCTATATGTGTTTCCGGTCTCACGACCTTCATCGGGCAAAGCGTGGAGATTTTCACATATTATTAAAAATAATTAATTTTTTCTTATGTTTTTCGATGTTAAATATTCTCGATATGAGACATTTTCTTTCTGTGTGTTAGTGACCCAAATGTCGTCTTGAATATATATATATATATATATATATATATATATATATATATGTATATATATATATATATATGTAAGCAAATATATGGATATAGATCCGACAGTATGAAGAAAAATATATACGGAAAAAAACAAAAATCCTTATATAGAATTATGCTGTTTTTTTAATGTTAATATATATATATATATATATATATATATATATATATATATATATATATATATATAAATAAATTTTATTAAAATCCACCAAGGTCTGTGTATTCAAGTTATTATTATTTATGTTCAATTTCGAATTTGGTGTTGTTAAACGGGATTGAAGTTATGAATAAAATATAATTCTAGTCCTTGTCTATCAAATTGTCATCTTGCAGTCCTAAAGTAATTCACTGGGGTGTTACAGGTTATCTAATCTCGACGCTACATTGGTAACTCCTACATCTTTCAGAGTGTCTTTTGTTAGCGAGCAATTTAAGGGGCTTAGATACTTCTTTTCTCGTCTTACTAGAAAGGCGACTACCTTTTAATCCATATGGTATACTTATATTTTCTTTTTTTATTTCTGGATTGTTTGTCTCTTCATTAAGTTTGCTGGAGATAATCATTTTTCTGGGCTGACGTTATGCGCTTATCTGAAAATTATCCACATAATTTACACATACATGTTGTTGCAGTTGTTGCTATTTCGCCATAAAAATAAATCACAATTTTTTCATCTCCTACACCATATAGATGAGATTTATGTTCCAAACTTCGAGAAGTTGAATTTCATCATCAAGAGGTCGAACGTGATTTAATGTTCAATTTATTCTAGCTGAAGAATTCGCGATCCCCAGCTACTCGCCTTTAATTAGAAAAATACGACCCGCTAAATTTTCATGGACATGTCCTTGAGATGTAAATCAAGGATAGTTTTCCATGTGACAAACCCCAATAGCAAGGAATCTTACTTTCCATTCATGTGCTTTTGTGTGGTATTTATTCTTAATACGTTATCTTTATTAAGTATTGTCCTCAGGCTGATGGAGATGAGAGAGACAAATGTTATCTTGTCTGATAATTCTTCAGCTAACATTCCTGTGTTGATTTCAATGTTCAAGATGGATGTGTGGTGAGTTCACTCAAGTACAAACGAGAAGGAAGGTAGTGTGCTATACCTTCTCCATCACTTACGAGCCAAGATCATGGATTGGCCTCCACGTGTTCCCAGTA